TCTTTACTCTGGTCTAATGGAGACAGCACTGGACTGAAAGTGAAGGACCCAGACTCTAGTTGTAGGTCAACCATTCCCTTCTCTTTTTCTCTGTTCCCATATGAAAAGAAAGCGGGTGGAGAAGGATTGCGGGGGATTGCTTTGGAGAATATGTGGTATTAAATAAGACTTGTGAAAGTCTTTCAAAAAGATTTGGTTAAAACATTTATTTTAATGGATTAAATTTTAAATATTAACAATGTAAAGAAGATTGGGCTTTTTAAGCACATAGAGACTGCAAATCTGTTCCCATTAGATTCCTGTTCATTTGATTGTTCATTTTCATTCAATAAATATTTACTTTGTACTATTTACTGTTCCTTTTTTAGTTTTCAGCTGGGGGCCATTTTATTCCCTATTTGGCAATGTGTGGAGACATTTTTGCTTGTCATAACTTAGTTGGGGGTGCTACTGACATCTAGTGGGTAGAAGCAAGGAAGCTGCATAAACATCCTCAATGCACAGGACAGCTTTCCACAACAAAGAATTACTCAGCTCAAGTGTCAGTGGTGCCAAGGCTAAGAAACTCCAGTTTCCAAGAATGAATTGAAAGAAATGGTTTTATTCGAGATTTTTATTTGGTTTAAAAATTACAATGTACATTAGACTTTTTAGGTTTTAAAAATGACCTTGAAATTTTGAGAATAAAAATTACTTGTAATTTCATAATCCTGGATACAATCAGTTCATAGAAAATTGTGCTTTCTTATTTAGAAATAAGCCCAAATTTGAAGTAATAGGAAAATAACCATGTAGTTAGGATCTCAAGAAATGGTAATACTTAAGTAAAATATATTTTGTAGAGTAACTTGAACTGGAATGTTGTTGTTTTATCTAATCGTGATTTCAATTTTGATTCATCTTACAGAGCTTCTTTGCCAACTTGGAAATAATAGCCCTTTTCTGCTTCTAGCCTTAACAAAAGTTGTTAGAGCTCTTGGAGCGTTCCTGGAGTACTTTCTTTCCATGGGTCCTCATAAGCAAAATTATCTTCTTCCCTTTCTCTTCGGCATCACAGCAGGACTCCCCTACACTAACACCCCTGGTCCTCCACTTTACCTCCCCAATCCCCCCCCCCGCCAAATATAATAGCTGCTAATTACTATTACTAGAGCTTCCATTTTCCCTAGTTCCCTGCTGCTTTAAACAGATTTATCATGTAAGCTTTTTGGAAACAAGGTTGGAAAAGTTTTTGCAAACTTTGCCAGTCTGCTTAATAGAGCAGGTACAACATTGTTGTCTCTTGACTCTTGGAAAGGGTTGGTGGAGACCTCTGCCAGCTATTTGCATTTGCCATGACATATTTCTGAACAGGTGTAGATTCCTACACCTGTTGCTGTTTGCTTAGCACTGCCTTTTCACATATTTTGTATTTTCCCTGTGAGGGAGAACAAAGTTAGTGTTTCTAGTTCAGATGGCTAAGATCTTGAAATGGAGGTTGAGGATGTTTTAAATTACTGATAGCTAGAATTAGATGCTAGTAAATGCCACTTAATTTTGAGAAGTAACTTTTAAAGATTGCTAACTGCATTTGGTTCTGTATCAAATGTAACCACAATTGTGTAGTCCAGACCTTGAGTTTTATATGGCAGACACTGCCTATGTTTTATATCTACCATAGATCCATTTTATTTCCCTTGACCATTTTTCTACAGATATTTGTCAGGACACGAATCAGGTTCTCTTCAAATGCTGCCGGGGGTCTGAAGAGATACCCTGCAACAAACCAGTTCCTGTAAACCTCTCTGAAGATCCCTGCTGCCTACTGCATTTCCAATTGCCTCCTCAGATGTATAAGCCCGAGCAGGTACTGTCTGTGCCAGACGATCTGGAAGCCGGCCCCATGGATCTGTACTTGAGTGCTGCTGAGCTTCAGCCCACTGAGAGTTTACCTCTGGAGTTCAGTGATGTAAGTTAGAGAAGCTCTGCTCTGGTTGGCCTTTGAGGCGAGGCCTTATTTATTAATGGTGAGAATAGGTTAGTCTTTTGTGGTCAGGATAGTTGATAAAGTTTTTGAAATGATATGTGTATGGCTGTATTTGTATGTTAGCATATTCATTGGCAGAAGCATATTAGCATATTAAATTGGCAGAAGTTTTCCTGAGAGAATGATAAGGGAAATTATAAACTAAGAGAAGTTGGAAAGTCAAGTTATGGTTAGATTTGGTGTAGCCAAGAAATTTGGTACCCATCCACAAGGTGAGTGATTCACTAGAATCTTAATACAAACCAGTTCTGATATCTACTCTTGACAGTGGAAACTTGATTTTCAGCTCTGTAGTAGGGTTTTCATTTTCAGATTAATGTGTCTGCCAGGAAATGACTCTGAACTTATCTCAGGTTACTGGTTTTCAGTTTTGGTATGTTATTACATACTCTGTTGTGAATGAACTGGAACAACAGTGATCTCCTTGAGTATTTTTTTTTTTTACAGCCTTCTAAGTATGTTTACTACCTTATCTCCTTTAGCTTATTCCTCGATTGGTCTCAGCCTATAAACCTAGCTTACATTTTATTTGTTTCTCTAATTAGCACTTACTACTATTTGACTTTAGGGATCAGTTGACATTCCGTCTCTTTCTTGGCACTTTGCTTAATCTTTAGCCTTCTGGATAAAGGTCTTCATTATTCTGATGATAAATCTTCTGAATTTCATAATGAATTATTTTGTGTAAAACCATGACATGTTTAAGGTGACAAATCTAAGTGGAAAATTCAATATAGGTTGCAAGATTTTTGCTAAGGGTACAAGCAATATTTGGGTAGCCTGGAGGAGGGTATTGCTCACTAAAAAAGATATACCAAGGTAGGATAGTATCTGAAAAATAAAAAGTGGCATTAAGAAAAAACCAATTGCAGTTTTTCCCATAATTTCTCCTCCCTTTTTGGGGGTTGTATACTGTCTATAGGTATATTAAACTTCTGATTTATATTACTTTATAATAAAATTATAATTTTTGTCGTAATTCTGATTATAATTGCTCTTTAAAAAGTTTTTTTCACACAGATTCATAGAATATAAACTAGAAAGGGACCTTGGAGATGATATATTCCAGTATCTCTCAAACTTTTCCAATGAGATTATATTGTAGTAAATGAATAGATAGCCCTAGATCGATAAGGACAGATTTTTTTTTACTACATTTTACATATGAAGAAAACCAAGGTGCTTTTTTTTTTTTTTTTTAACGTAGTAATACAAGGAGCTTTATAGGGTCTAAAAAATAACCTAATAATCACTATATCATCAAGTTCTTTTCAAATATTAATGCGTTTATGTAGAAACTAGCACATGTTTTATATAGATGTACTAGGTTATTAATGTTTGTTATCTGTTAATTTTTAGAGTCATTTTCTGTTTTTACCAGTTTGCTTTTCCCCCATTCATCTGTTTTTACCGTGTTAATTTTAAATGATGTTTTCTTTCTCAAACCTTTGATAATCTAGGTTTAAGAAAACATAACTGTTTCAGTATGTTTGAAGATTATATTCTTTACTCTTTGGAGAATATTTACACAAAATATTAAAGATTGTAAGATGTGACCATAGGCAAAACTAACATTTAAGGAATCTTAAATTTTAAAAATATTTAAAAATATGTCATCAAATTTGTTAATGCATATATGTGGCATGGATTTCTTAAAGAATATGAGAAGTAACTTTATTTTTGAGAATCTGAGAAGTTTTGACCCTTTGTTAGAAGTCAAAGTGATAAACAATCATCTCTTTATAATTGGTCATCTAATATGTTCATATTAATGTTCTTTTGATAAACTACATTGGTCATTAAAAAGTATAGTTTTATTCTTAACCTTTGGAGGTAAAAATTGTTCAGAAAATATTGAAACAAAATTCAGTTGTAGAAAAGAATTTTTGTTCTCCCATAAATTCTGGATATATTTATTAGTATACGGTTTTTTGGGAAAAAATAATTTCTTAATTATATGAATTTCACCAGGCAATCTTTTTACCTATATTTTGCCTTATATATCATTTCTATAACTTGGTAACAACTTTGGTAACTACTCATCGGAGGGCCATGTATTGGATAGTAACATGGTTAAAAATTCAGCCTTTTATTCAAGATAATACACTTGCCTGTTTTCTGTGCTTTGATCCAAGGATGTTTGGCAAGTAACAACCTAATACCTTTATCCTGTTACTTTGAGCTTGCTCTTTTTATGTGTGTTGGTTTTTGAGATCAGAACAAAAATGAATTCTCAGTGTCTTGATGCTTGCGTCTCTAAACATTCCTGTTAATGGTAGGCATTTCTGCTGATTGTTTTTTCCTTTCTTATTTTAGGTATCTTTCCTCAATTTTAATTCTTATAACAGACAACACTGAACATGTGAGAAAAGCCTTTTCAGGATATATTTTCCTTTGAAAAGATTTCCATACCATTGTCATCTTGAGACTTGGAAAACTTTTGCCTCATCACTTAAATGGGTTCTTCTAAATTCCAAGTTAATTATTTATATGATAATATAATAATTGTCCATATTAAAAGAATTGGAGAAAATAGTTCACTCTCTTAACGATGTGAGAACACTATAGTGGCTGGATGTTATAGAAGTTTCTAATAAATCCAGAATGAATGTTAGGTAGCGACTATCCTTTTCTTTCTGCTTCTGCTTAAATTGAGCATCTTTAAGGCCAGTACATTCTTGATGTATATTCTTCACCTTAATTATTGTAAAGGTGTGATTCTCATTTCTGATGATTAGCACACCAAAGAAAGGGAAAGGATTTCAAACTCTTAGAGTTATTTAAAAGAATAAAACTAAGTAAGCTTCTCATGAAGCTAGATTACTGGAAACACAGCCTCTGTAAAGCGGATTGGGTATTAGGGGAGTCCAAACTCTTGGTTAATTTTCACTCTTAGATAGGAGAGGTTAGCTGTAGACTCTTAGAAAGTGGTGACATGAAAGTCAGTTTGACACATCGAAGCTTTGCAATGCTTTAGGCCCTGAATCAAGACCAGTGGTTTGTTGTAGCCATTGGTTTCAAACAGGAGCCAAGAGCAATGTCATTCTGTGGTCTTTGGCCATTCAGGACCACAGTGGGAATGGCCAATTCAATTGGAAGAAACAGTCTATAGAATATAATGTTTCTTTTTTACAGATCACTTGGACTATGTTAGGTTTAAGAATCAGGCACTTACTCTGTGGGGATAGGGACTTAAGCAAAATAGTATTTCATAGCCATTAGGAGGGATTTTGAGTTTTTTGTCCTTCCTCATTTCTCTCCTCTTTCTTTTTCCCTTTCTTGCTCCCTGCCTTGCTTGTGGTTGTTAGAACATTAATCAAGCAATCTCACATTATCCAGTCTTTTAAGACAGTATTTCATTTTAATTTGCAGTTATGCTGATAGTCCATGTTAGAGTCACCACTGGTGAACTTAGATGTTGACTACAGTTAGTCTTGGAATATGCTTTTTAAAAAAATAAATACTTATTGTAAAATATTTAACATAAAATTTACTATTTTACCCATATTTAAGTGCACAATTCAGTAGTGTTAAGTACATTGACATATTGTGCCACCATAATCACTGTCCATTTCTAGAACTTTTCCATCAGCCCGGAGACTTTGTACCCATTAAACTATAACTCCCACTTCCCCTCTCTCCCCAGGCCCTGGTATCTACTGTTCTGCTTTCTCTGAAATTTCCTACTTAAAAAATATGCTCTATAAAGCTACTATAGAGGTCTGTGTTTTATTCTTGGCAGCAAGAAAAAAAATCTTAGTGCTTTTGGATCTTGTCCCATTTGTTGGACAATATGGGAAAGTCTTTTTTGATTCATGGTAGGTAAGGGGTGAGGGAAGTATGGGAGAATTGCTTTGAGTTTTGCTGAAAAGTATGCCAGCTTTAGCTAATTGATTCCTTTGGTATTGCTGATAGGCTTTTCTCTTTCTTTTCCTAGGACTTGGATGTTGTGGGTGACGGTACACAGTGCCCTCCTTCACCCTTGCTTTTTGATCCTTCACTAAACCTTGAAGATCATTCAATCAAAGACATTGCTGAAGGCCCAGTGGATATTTTGGCAAGTGAAGAACAACCCCAGCCAGCCTTTCCTCGTATAGTGACCCAACCAAGCAGAGGGTTCCTTGCTGGCATGTACTCCTAGGGAGTGGGCTTGTCATCACACATACACAGTAAAAGTTCCCCAGATGGTAGTTCTTCAGATGGGCCCTTAGAACACCTAATGGCTCTAGGTTCTCAAGTCTCAGAGATCAGGACACAAATTTAGTTAACTAGAAAAGGTTGAGACAAAGAATCTAGGTAAAATATTTCTTTTAAGGGAGAGTTCAGCACTAGAATTGCTGCTATCATAGAGGAAGGATAAGTAATGTGATTTGGCTTCTTTCTTTGAGATTTGGATGAGATACCTACGGCCCTGACTGAAAACCAGCAGTTATACTGTAGCTGTTGGTTTCAAGCAGAGGCCCAAAGGACCATCTTCCTGTGATCTGTTGATTTTTCTGGAACCTCAGCAGAGAATGGCTATTTCATTTGGAAGAAACAACCCACAGCTCGCTCTCATTGGGAGAGCCTCAGGAATGCTGCAAATAATGACTTAGGATTTCAAGGGTCAGGGATAGTTAAGTATGGGGAAGAGTAACTGCCCCAAATTATTTTATTTCTGTTGTCTTTTTCTTGTTGCTATGATAAATGGATCATTTCTAAGTCAGATTTTTATTCAGACCACAACAAATGAATTTGTAACCAAAATGACTCTCTTATCAGGGCCAGATGCAGATGACCGGAGATGGGCGCAGATTGCAGGGATCCCGAAATTCTGAGAAAGCCTCTGCACCATTGCCTCAAAGTGGAATAGCTACTGCAAATGGGAAGCCAGAACCCACTTCCATCAGTTGATAGTTTGTTTTGGGAACCATTTGACTTTGGAGGATTTGAATTTCCCATTCTTTAAACAAGTATTTCTGACCATCTCTTATTAAAGGACAACCCAGACTGCTTTGTTTTTCTTCTGGGTTATTGAGTGCTGTAATCAAACATAAACCAAATTGTTGGAGAAGGGACCAATTGTGTCTAAAAGTTGTGGATGTCTTCCCACTTGGGCAAGGAAGAGAGAAAGGTGAATCTGCTGCTGGGATTGAGCAAAGATTTGGCAATCTGTGCCTAAGAGAGGGGAGAGACATCTTTGTAAGAAGATTTCCCAAGACTTGGAACAAATCCACATAGGCGTTTTGGTGGAAGCTGTGTACCCTTGGAATATTGATGTACCTGCTTTCTGGTTATCACTATTTAACAGGCTCCATTTTAGCCTTTCCTCACCTCTCACCTAATTGGGTAATCTGAACCTCCTTCCCCCTTGAACTCTGAACTATAAACTCAGAAAACAGCCCAAAGGACCGGGCCCTCCTTAACCATCTATCTTGCCTCTAACTTTTGTAAATTTCTGTAGTGACTGTCTTATGTAAGATACCATAAAAAGTACTGTATATAGTTTCTATTAAATGTTAAAATGTTATGAAAATATGAAACAATCACTTGAATGCACGTTTTGTTTGTATTTGGGAGGGTATGTGTGTGTGGTGGGGCTGTCCTTAGGGAGCTGTGTCAATGGGAAGGGCTAAATGGGAAAGATATCCTTCCATTCCAAGAAGTAAATACATTTTCAGTAAATTACTTTGGTTTTGGTTTGCAGGATAATACAAGAACCTGTAAGAAGTAAATGGAAAGGGATCCGACTTCCTTATTAAAGCCTACCAGTTCCAAATACCTTCCTTTTAGCCCTCTTCTGTGCCCCCTATTTCCACTCTTTTCTATTTCATAATGCCTGATTATCATTTAAAATTCTCTAGGGTTAGCAGTCTACATATAACTCCCAGAGAAGTTGGGCCTCATGCTGAATCACAGAGGTAGGCATAAATTGTCTAAAATCATTTTGATGATGAAGGATTAAAATAGAAGTTCAATTAGGGTTAAGTTACCTCTGCCCAAAGTCTATTTTCATAATACTTTAAGAAAAGCCAAAAGATTGCTTTCTATAAGAAATGAATTGAGAAACAGAAGAGTTTAGTTACACCGTCACCTTGGCTTTAGTTTAAATACCTGTATTCAGAGAATGGTTGAAAGTAACTCAGTAGGCCGGCCCATCAGATGAATTCCTGAGATCATGTTTAATGAGTCTTAGAGTACACTGTTTTTCAGTTTGTGGTTCCCACTGCTTTCTTGCCTGGTAATTTTTACACTTTATACACAAGACAAACATTACTTCTTATGCAGCTATGGACTAGAACATATCTGCTCCTGTGACAGGTCTAGAAATTAGAATATCCTCTTTCTTAAAAAGTGATATACAAACCACTTGTATCCACCCATTAGTCAAGGTGATTGTTTTGTAAATTAACAGGCCTATATGCACTTTCTGGGGTTGGGGGCAGGAAGTGGTGGCCAGGGAATCTGCGTTCTTAGCACCCTAGAAATTTGATGGCCACTTGTTTGCAAACCTAGCAGCAATGGTGAGTTTTGAGAAGGTCACATATACAGTGGCCACTCTTAAGATTCTGGCTTCTAATAGGGAAAACATGATTTGGTAGGAAGAGCCTCAAGCTATACCATATCTGAGAAAGTATGTTGGCTGTTAGAAGAGATGGCCTAGTACCCCTTCTGGGTTCAGTTGTAGTAGCAGCCTGAGAGAAGTGTGGCCTTGTGACACCTTGTAGATCTAAAGATGAGAGAGCTGGAGGCTGTTAACTGTAGTAGGTTCTCTTGAAAGGACCTTTGGGTAGCATACTCCAATGGCCTCTACAGTTCACCTCTTGTGCCAGATCAATTCTTGATGCACGTTCACAATTCCTGAGGAGCATAGGTTAGAGGATTGTTAACACCTCCCATGGCTGTAATTTGTCTTGGGGCTGCAACTTGTCACCTCCCTCCACCAAATGTTCTAAATTCCTTTCATCCTTGGTTATCACATTGGTAAGTCTTGGTAGCTTACTTGGTGGTGTGAGCTTTTATTCCTGAGGACTCTTGATAATCATACCCTTCTCAGGCCAGTTGCTGCACGTATCCAGTTAGGCAAGGGAGTACCAAGCTGCACCTGTGATAGAATAATCTCCCAAGATGTCCATCTCCTAATCCCTGGGTCCTGTGAAAATGTTACTTTGGCCAAAGGGACTGTATAGATGTGGTTAAGGTTAAGGGCTTTGGATGGGGAAAGTGTCTTGGATTATTCTGATGGGCCCAATCTAATTACAAGTCCTTAAAAGCAGAGAACCTTTTCCAGCTGACAGTATGAGAAGGATTTGATGGTAGTTTTGAGATGTGGGGGAACTAGGTACAGAGACCAGGGAGGGATCTCTAGTTGCTAAATATGGCCCCCAGCTAACAGCCTGCAAAGAATCAGACTTCAGTCCTATACTGCAGGAGACTGAATTTAGCCAACACCTGAAGAAGGAGGAAGCAGACTATCCTAGAGCTTACAGAAAAGACCTGCCCATACCTTGATTTTAGCCTGAGGCCTGTACTGGGCTTCTAACAGGGAAATGTAATACATTTTATGTTTTTCAAAGCCACTAAATTTGTGGAAATTGGTTATGGCAGAAACAGAAAACCAATATAGCACCCAAGTTGATGACCTCAGTTTTTCCTAGTACTATTGTATGAAAGAATCCCTACTTGCTCCCACTGATCAATTACCTGCAAAAATAGGCTCCTTTCCTGCTAGTTCCTGGACACAGTTAAAAGTGGCCTGGTGGCAGCTCTAGCTTATAGTTCAGCTGGATCCTCCCTACGTCTCCTGGCAAGAGTGCACTGCCACGCTTCCTCCGCCCCGCCCCCCACACACTTTGCGACCAAGACCTTGCAGAGCCAAAAGCTGGATGGGAATACCCTGGTGGGTCACTGGGTGTGTTAAATAGGGCTGTTCTGCTTCCATCTCTTGGTCCTGAACCTGTTTATTCCTCTCAAGAGAATGTAGCACTTTATAAAGATCTCTGATTTAGTGCATGTATTGTACCCTGAAGGATGGCACCCCTCCTTGCAAAGTATTTTCTCTAGGCTGGTGTTTCAACTGTACCTTCAATGGGTCTCTGAGGCTAGCTACTTCTGGTTGGAGCAGTAT